CTGAGTGTGGTCGTAATTTTGTGGAAGCTGAGTTCCCGGATATATTCTAAAGACCCCGTCTTCTGTTCCAATGTATTTCCAAATTGAGGGATTGTGATGAAACTGTAACCAAAGCTGCTCTGCATAATAGGTTGCAATTACACTTTGAAGTATGGATGTCTGAAATAGAAAGAATAAAAATAATGGACTACGTTGATGTACTGAACATCTAAACGAAAATCACCGAAAGGGTTATCGCCCTTCCTCTTCTTTTTACTATATTGGTGCTGAAAACATACTTACTGGTGTTTTAATATACTAGCAGTTGAATAAAGACCAAAAAATTTTAACCAAGCCCCATTAATTGCTCCTTACATAAATATTAACTACTGTAAAAGAGACACTTGATACTGTACCATGGCATATTCTAATTGTGGTGTAAATCAAACTTTGAACTCGAAATTCAGATATAAAATCGCTTTCGTTTTACCAATTAACAATTTCTACGTCCATTCGAGAGGGACTATGGGGCGAACCAAAAACCAACCTGCACGACGAATTTAACGAAATGACACTTTTCCCAACGCAATCTTTCTTTATTTGGTAATATTTCTCTACATCTCTTCACTCCTCCATGGTACCTGACCCCACCCATGATTTTGTGCGTATTTGCTCTGCTCGAATTTAGTTTTGTTGAATGGACGTTTGAGCTTTCATATTGTTTTCGTTATATCATTATGACTTAAAAGGAGATAACCAATATTCAAGCTTAAAAGTCTATTAAAAAACGAAAAATTAAGAAAAAAAATTAAATTAAAAATTACAAAATAGTAGCGGCAAACACTGACCTCCAAAACATCGGATATGGGATTATGTGCCTTGGAGGAGAGGGCCCGACCGGTCACACCCGTCGTGTGCTCCTTGTCATGATCGGGATATACCAGAAAAATCCTTCGTCAATTCAGTGTGTAAATAATGGACTACCAATGAAAAACGTCAGTCATCATTTGACTGAATGATAAATTGCATTTGCTGACAACGTCTTTGTATCGACCATAGAAACTACGAAATGTTGATTTTAAACGAGAACGCTGATATTCTTGTTTCATTAACTTGCCTCTCCATTATTTACCCCACTTTAGAAATTGCACTATACGTAAAGCAGGTAATGAAGGTATATTGTTGCATAACTAATACAAGGGAAGTTGACGATTGAAAAGTTGAAAAGTCGTAAGTTTTTAAGGTGTTGATTTTGGTAAAATCTTTTGATTTCAAATTTTTCAAATTGAACTTCCATGGAATTTTTAATATCTGATTCACACCACTACTCGAAGATATTGTTGCACAGTACTCTTGCAGCTTTTCCCTCACAACAAGTTGAACATTGAAAAGTATCATCTCGTTGGTCATAAAACTTGTTATTCGAATTGCTATTCGAATACTGAGATATATAAACTCCGTATGCAAGTGATGTAAGTACATGCATATTGCTGCATATGTAAGGGAAGTTGACGATAGAAAAGTTAAAGTCATCACGTTTATCATAGAGCTTGGTTGTTAGATTACCATTAACGCCTTTTTCAAGTGAAATATCTTAATATGAAATAGATGTATCGGTCTCTGTGGCATCTTTTATTTCAAGCTCACCGGGATATATCGTATTGACAAAAGAATTTAAAAAAAAAAAACAATATTAATTGACAATAAGTCGTTGATATAAGTAAATGCCACAGCAAGTATTTTTTTTTCACGTATACGATTTTTGGAAAAATTCTGCATCATATGAATATGAATATAAAAGTAGGTCGGATAATAACGAGGAATAATTGTACCCATGAAATTCTAACAGACTCTTAGAAAATCTGGTTTCTAAAAACTACATAGATATTGCCTTACAGAAACTCAATATTTTTGATACCAACTTAAGAGTACTTGTGAGTACAATCAGAATAATTTATAACAAAATAATTTTGCAAACTACCAATGACAAGGTGAGTAAAATAAGGAGTTCCATTAGCATTGGAAAAGCAGCTGTCAATATTATCAAAAAGTCTGGACTTTAATTTTTTCAGGTTGAATGGTTGTATTTAAAGTTAAAAAACAAGTTTAAATGCTGTTGATTTTATCAATTTTTATCTACAATTGAAGATTATGTCTCACACCTTACTCCATAGTCCTTTAGATATGTGTTTCTGACCAGAGTGTTATGAATAAGATGTTTTGCAATTGCAATTAAGCCCCCCCCCCCTCGACAAAAAAAAACCTTCACTAAAGAAGAAACGTACTTCGTGGTTCTAAGTAGTCTTTTTGTTTATTAGCATCAATATTATTTGATTTTATTATTAAAAATTAAAACAAACCATGTATTTTACTCAATTCTAGAAAAAAAATGAAAACAATAAATTTGCCCCAATGGTAATGTTTTTACACTTGATCTTTCATTGTCACAAAATGTCAATGTAAATTTTCCTTGACGTATCAAATACAAATAAAAGAGGAACTTTAAAAATACATACTTTGAAACCGGGATCGGTTGACGATTTTCCGGACAGAAAATTTGTATAGGACAAGACATCATTAATATCTTCCTCGTTTTCTAGATTAAAATCAGGATCCACGAAAGCTTTGGGAGTCAGTAGAACTGTCGAATATTCTGAAACATTAAAACTACGTGTTAAAATTATTTCTCTTAAGCAAAATAATTTGTTCTCTGGTAGTTATTTTATTGTAAAATTTTTTTTTTCTGAGTGAAGGCAAAATATATATGTATAAGAATTTTCATATCATGATTCCTAAATTTATTTTTTGCAAACAATTATTTTGAATGTATAATCCAAATTTTAAAATTACAACTGTTGATAAACAAGAAATGAGGACCACGTTCACATTTTCAATGTAAGTGTATTTAGACTACCTTTAGATGCATACCGGTTGAAGTGATTACAAGCTCCGCCAGTCGAAGTCAGGAGGTCAAGGCGATGATAGTTGAACTTCTCTGGTGAAGGAGAAGAGGCATTGTACAAAACCTCCCCACCACCTTCAGTTATTACGACACACAAAGAGAGGTTTGTTCCCTTTAGCTAAAATCAGAGAATTTATCTTGAAACGTTTAAAAAAACATCAGTTTAATTATATTGTTATATCTAAGCAAGTTTCTGTGAACACAAACCATGTTTATCTGGAATATATGAATAGAACAATTTCCATTCATAAATAATCTAATTCCTTATCTATAGTATATTTCATAATTTCTATTGTCGAATTTAAAATACATGCCAAAATATTTTATTTACGACTAATATAAACTTTTTAGGTACTCACGGGATTCCAATAATAGGTTGACCACATTTTTCTTTCCTGCACCCCGTCTATAAAAGTGTTTCCACGAGAGGAAACCCTGGTTGAGAGAATTCTTTGGCTTCCTGACTCTCCTCTACAAGTAAGAGAGTTTTTTCTCCCGGTTTTTAAGGTTTGCTATAAATTCTTCTAAATTGTTTTGTGAATTATCAAATACAATTTACGAAATTAGCAATATCAACAGAGACCAGATGTTGCGGTACTTTGCTTGATTGAATGTATGTTGTTTTAAGTCCTATTCGGGTTTTTTTTTCCACTTTGTATAGAGACGTTACCATGAGCCATGGAGAAATGTCTCAAATTAAGAAATTAACTTGGCCTTATAGGCCATTGACAGGTCTCTTTTTATACAACGCCTCTGGTGACATGGGGCCTCAGGTTTTTAGATCTCAGCTGATACCCGGAGCTTTCACTTCAAATTCGGGCGTTTGGCAAAGAAAAAGTTGCTACCTATTTTTTATCGGCTTTGGACAGTTGCGGCGGGTATTCGTACTCACGGCTTCTAAAAACCTTATTGGAATTGCGATGGGTAATAATTGTTTCCTTAAATAGCCAAACTGCATTTTTTGTATTCGTATATGGATCGATGTAATATAAAAGCTTCTACAACAGTTGAATACGTTTTTGGTTGTGACCTACATTATTGCATAGATATTCATGCATTCACAAATATTCATGTTCAATGATATGTTGATTCGATATACCCCAACTGATTTTGATTAAAAAAAAAAACACCACAAAGTCTCACAAATATTTCAAATTTGACTATCTAGGAAAATATTATACACTGATACTTAATTCAAAACTTTAGTTTAGGAAACGAAAGCTGGTTTTATTTTTCTATCGTCAACCGCCCTTACATTAATTATTTATTATAGTATGAAAAAAATGAATATAATTTTTTTCATACTATAATAAAAAAGTGAACAAAACCAACATTGGTCGATCTAAAAAAAAAAAAAACACACAGCCTATACAAATTTATATACAGAGTATATAACATGTAAATATTAAAACTCAAATATCCATTGCGTGGAATAAGGCGTCCAATTTGTCACATATGTACGTACCTTGAAGCCTATGAATTGATAGTCGAATTGAAAAATAATGTGGAGTTTAGGGACGTTCGTGTTGTATTCTTTTAACAGATTTGATTTGTTTGTAGATTTCTTTTTGATAAATTTTAGACCAGGAAAAAAGGTAAGTATCTTACCTTTTCATAGACTCAAGAATAGAAGCAACAGCTTCGTCTCTTTCAAGTGATTCAATATCCACAATCACAGCATCAGAATTCAAAGCGATCGGTTTTAAAGAAGAGTGTATATATGTTCGTCCCATGCCATCAATTACAAAAGCATAGGAATTTTTAACGTTTTCCAAAAGGAAAACTTCTCGGAAAAGACTGGATAGTCTCACGTCGATGCACACCATTCCGAATATTTTCTTGTCTTTTTTATGAAGTTGTTTGCAAAGAGATGTAATAAAACCTAAACCAAAACGAAAATATTTACAATTCTCTAAATATATATTTATGTTTTTTTCTATCATTATCGATATTCTTGAAATCATAATATAGTTATTTTACAATTTGATATACTAATACCTAAATTAGACTTGTCATCGTAAGGAAGGGACACTCTTATACGATTTTCTGATTTTCTAAATGGTTTCCAGTATGAGGCAAGAATGTCTTGCAATTTCGAAGGATTGGCGATCTTTTTAAATTCGCCTTTCTTTAAAAGAGTAAATATAATAAACATCAATAAATATTTAGTATCTATGAAAAAATTCAATATTTAAGAAAGCAACATATAGCACTTACACGAACTATTCCGTATTTGGGGTCACTTTCTACCTGGCCAGTCATTTTTTGTAGAACATCAACAATTGTATCGTTCAATACTACTGACAGAAAAGAAAAAAAATAAGTTACAGTACCCAAAGGGTTAACACAAGTGTCATAATAATGTTATATGCCGAAGAGAGGCTAGAGTAATACAGTTCTTAGAAGTTCATCGTAAATTAGCTGTTCTCAATGTGAATCTGACACTGCAAGGATAAATAACCGGGTAAATGTCGAGAGGGACTGAACTTACGTTGTCCGATGCCATAGGTGAAAATAGCAACACTATTGTTCAAAATTTTGTTCTCCTCTGCAATGGTTTTGACAGGATCTTTCCCAACAGTCGGCAATCCATCCGTCAAAAAAAGGATGATTTTTTCTAAAGAATTCAAAAGTACAATAATTAAAGACGTATATACCATAATTTTGATGTATATTTTTAATTCATTCTTTTTCTTATATCATTTTTACAAAACCTTCGCGGTGATGAGTATCTATTTTGTTAAATACATTTTAGCCTTAAAAAAAGAAAAATTAAAATGTCAGTGATTAAGATCTCTGTCACCTCTTTGTTCGCTTTCTGTTGTGTAATTAGAATGTTTGAAGAACTTGAATGCTTCTCGCAGAGCCAGTTCATAGTTTGTTCTCGCTCCTATTTGAATGTTCTGAAGTATGCTCTGGAGAAACTTGACATTTTCTGGCGTCGCTTTAGCTAGTTTGGTTCCCACGCATTTCCTAGAAGCAGCGCCCGGAACAACGGTTCCTGTATCAAACACCACGATCCCGATCTAATTTGACAATCCCAGAAATAACATTCTTAGAAATACAACATATATAATGGGATACACCTAATTAAATTAAGGATTAAAGCATTTCAATCTTGGGGAGAAAAGTGCACATTAAAATTTTGATCCAAATTTATTTCAACAATTTACAGTTGTTGGAAATCATTTCAATGACTGAATTGCCCTCTTTATCCTTTGGCAAATAATGGTTCTTTTTTTTAGGATACATCGCGCAAATAAAAAGTTTGATGAAAGACTTGATATTTGTTGGACTGACTTTCAATATCAAGATCAAAAGTTCATAAAAACAATACAAAATTTGAGCAGAGAAAACGCGGACCTCCAAAACATCAGGGGTGGGGTCAAGTGCCGAGGAGTGAACATCTTCTGCCGACTGGTCACACCCATCGTGTGCTCCTTGTCTTGATCGGGAAATAACGTAAAAAAAATCCGTCGACAATTCAGTGTTTAATAATGGCCTTACATTATGAAAAATGTCAGTTAGTATTTGACTTAATTAATTACATAATGCAGAAAAAAATTATCTGAATTGGGGGAAAACAGGCCATAATGCAGGGGGGAAAAAGAGAGAAAAAATTCTGACTGGGGGAGGGGGGGGGGCAGGCAGTTAAACAGGAATTCATCAAAAATTGTGAGAGCTCTAATGATGGTATTTACATGTATATATAATTAAAACATTTAAAACATTTCTGTAACATAATATTACAAACGGTGCAGTATGGGGAAGGTGGGTGGGATAACAAAAAAAAAAAACACAGCATGTACAACCAGCTGAAGTTAGAACAAAGGAATGATGATGGTAATTGAAATTTGATCCGGATTAGTTTGGGGTTCACGTGACTACGGACCTCCTGGGATGTTCCTGTCCCTCGCGCGATGCATTACCTATAAATATGGACATGAAATACTGGTTCCCAAGACAAATAATCTTTCTAAAAATAGCTTCTTTGTCTAAGTATCAAACAATGATTGTTTTTACAAGTTCGATAAGATTTACCCAACTTAAACCAAAATTACACTGCAATTCTTTCTACATGGATTCACCCACTGAATGTTGAATTAGTAGTACAATAATTAACAAAATGTATTGGGGAAAATATTATGTACACATGAAAAACTTGAGGGTTATGTATAAACAAAATTTTTTCTTACATAAAAAAATATCATTATGTAGGTGATGAAGGTGTACTGTTGCATAAATATCGGAAGTTAAGGTTAAAGTCATCACGTTTATCATAAAACACGGTCGTTACATTACCATTAACTTCTTTTACGAGTAAATTATCTAAATACGAAACAGATAAGTGGTATCTTTTATTTCAAGCTCACTAGGACATATCGAAACGAGGGAATTAACTGTTGTTAAAGGAAATAAATAATAAATACTTCAAGTTTACAGAAATAATGAGTCCTTAGTGCAGAATTAGCCGACTTTGTACTGTTTTTACATGTATGTAAACATGTACAAAATTTAGAACACGTTTTTTTACCATTCCAAAAAAAATCCTTCAATTTTTCCACTTATCCTTGATTTTATTGTAAAAACATAAATAAGTTTAAAATCTTAATGATTTCTTTAAAAATGATTTTCAAAAAATGTTATTATCCCAAAATCAGTCAATTTAAGATTTTTTTTAGGATAATACCCTGTCGTTAGCAGTGAGTGTTTCCAGTACAAAGGTAACAGCTTCAATGGTTATCTGTAACAGAGTTTTGGTTCCGTGAACATCGGCCAGGGATCCCGACCTGTCTATCACAATGACCAGGTCTTTCTCTACTGGACTGAGTGTCGATGCGTAGAGTTGGCTGAAATAAAACAAGAGGGAAAAGTTTAATAGTTCACAGTAAAATAAAATACATCACACAATGCATCCTTTTAATGAGTACCTCCCTACGGGACCTTTAACTTTCAATTGTTTCAAACCCTAGAAACCCTCTAACCAAAGATGCTTTGTTAGTGAAGTTTGAGGTCAACTTTTTTTTGCTTTAGAAAATTGGACAGGGACTTTCACCAACATTCACTTCTCTTCTCAAGCCTTCATGTTTTGATTCTGGTGACGGCCTACATCTCAACTTACATTTCGTCTAAAATATGTCTGAATGTATGTTACAGACGCGTTACATTAACAATTTTAACATAAATGAACTCAACTTTCACAAGAAAACAAACATTTTTTGCACTGTTTATCTATTTTTACAAGTTAACCATGTCCTTTTAATTGAATCCTTTGATGTAGTTTGAGAAGGATTTAATAATATAGATTCACTATTAAAAAAGCATGTTACCTTTTTCAGCTTATCGCTTAAGACGTCATATTACCTGTAATGTTTAACAACTTCTGAGGAAATACCACTCGGAGGGAAGGGGTAAACCATCATAGTTCCATCCTCCATTGCTAAAATCTGTTTGTTTACGTAGTGGATCTGAGCATTACTTTCCATGATATCAATTAAATCAGTGAGGGAATATGTCACATTCTGTGAAAAGCATAAAACAATTTATTCACAATTCATTAAAAGAAAAACAATACACACATTTTTAAAGTTCACTTTGATTGACTGTTGTTTATTTGGCTAGTTTGTCTCATGTTGTGTATACCATGGAAAAAATAATTTTTTTTTCAAATTAGAGCACAGATAGTACATAGAAGAAAGTTCTAGCAATATCAACCATTGTGACGTAACTTTTTTGATATGTTTTCCTACCCAGTAGTGTATGTCAGTCTCCGGGATATTAGACGTTTCACATTTCTGCAGACCTTTGCAAGAAACAGATTCAGTTTTTGCACTTTCAGAAGCTTCTTTGATGAGTTGTAGTGCAGTTACGCTTTTTAAAATCCTTTGATTTATTGATAAAGTTATCTAAATAAAGAAAGAAGACACCACATTAGAAATATAATTAAAATGAACCTTATTTTGTATAATGGAATTGTCATGTCATGTAAATTCAACATTTACAATAAGACAGAATAAAATATGAAGAGATAATTTGGAAGTTTCGTTACCTTTAAAAATTGTTAATTTTTTATTTAATCAATATTTTATTTCTTGTGAGCAGTTAAAAATAACACTAATGCACCGCTTGATCTTATGATGAGATATCGCCCCCTTTATGACGTATTTTACGTCAAATCGTAGGGAATATCAGTTAATCTTATCAGTTTAAGGTAGGTCACTCGTCAGCTTTTTGAAAAGGTTCATTCAGAACCTCTTACTTCAACATTATTTATCAAAATTCAATTTTTATAACATATTTAATTTCAACAATGTTAATGTTTTAACATTCAACAAAAAAACTGCTCAAAAAGCTACAAAGAAGCAAGATTTGTGAGGGATTATTTTTTGTGGTGGAAGGATATTAAGCGATAATTCTACAAATCTGCACATTTATTAAATTTAATATCTTGGACATTTAGCCTCACATACTTTTACTCGGAGAATATTTTCCATTACGATATTGCTAGGAATATTTCATATAGGTCTTAATTTATATTTTTAGAACAAGTTTTGCACCTTCCTTCAACAAACTTTGCCAAAAAATGAAGATATGTCAAATTAGTCACTATAAAATTAACACCATTTTTTGCCTGAAAATCACATATTTTGACCAATATTTCAAAATTAACATCACTGACCCCAACTTTTTCTTTCATTATTTTAAAGTACTCGATACCTGTGACTGATCAGCCCTTCAGTCGTAAAAAGCTTGATTTAAGAAAATGTTTTATAGCCTATTAAGTTTTTTAATACCCCAAAATATGTTACGTTTAGTGCAAAAAGGTCACACAATAATTTACGCGCATTAATTTGCAAGATTTTTTCAATGCTAAATATTATTCAAAATATTTTACGTAAAATAAGATAATATTTTTTGCCATGGTTACATCTGATGAAATATAATAAAGGTTTAAGTAATTAACCAAAGAGTCAAAATTTAAGTGCAAAAAGGTCAACTTCATTGTACCGTAGATCAGTAAGATGAACACTGACCCCCTATTTTCTCTGCAATTTTTAGTCACTCTAAATGAGTACTTATCCAAAATATACTTCTCAATAAATCCTTGATTTAACAAATTTCACGAGTGACATACCTTAAGCAAACATGGAACTCTACACAAGATCTGTGAAAATATATTTATCGACTATGGTTCTGGTACAATGTGTGTTTTATCTACTCCCTGGAACCACACTCTTTTCTTGAGGTTTAGTGCCTTTAGTTAAATTATAAACAGTTTGTTTCTGGAGATTAAAAAGACGCACGTTACCATAGAACTCAAGCAATAAATTTTTACTCTTGCCTTTTTTGAATGGTTTGTTTTAGCTTTTCATACCTTAACTTTTTATATTTCTTGGTGTAAATTTAAGAAATCATCGTCCATTTTGTTGGGAATGCCACAGCATCAACGATATATAGTTGGAAACGTTGGGTAATTTGCATAAAAGGTGAACCCTTTATGCATAAATCATCCCATGTTTCGAAATATCATAGATGTTCCTGGCATACCCAAAAACTAGACAGTGATATACCTTATGTTTATATTTATTCTTGAAATTAAATTATGAATATAATTTTTAAAATGTTGTTAAATAGATAATATATGCACAAGGCCTCCCATGTCAATTTCAATGGTTCCCGCCCCATGACGTCAGACACAAAGACAGCATATTAGGCTCCTGACCTTTTACTTGGCGAAATTTACATTCCGGTTAAATTATATAGAAATTATTTCACCTAACTTTCAAAAAGTGATCACAGAGAAAACATTGAGAAATGTAAATACACAATATATATCGTGGTATATCCCTATCATTTTTAACCTTTTATCTTCTCGTTTGTACTTTAGATTGCTTTTTTGTCCGATTTCTATATAGCATTGTCTCGCGAAGGCTTGATACAAAAGACATGATAAATGAAATTAATGTAATCATGAATTAATGTCTACACCCTACCTCTTTAGTGACTTTGTCCCCGTCAGGTGGGCGATGCAAATATTGGAGATCTTTGAAGTATTCCTAAGTCAAAGTAAATGTAACACAGCTTTTGGAATATCAAGGATGTTAGTTGAATTTGATTGAAAAAAACGTGAATTTTACATTTTTCAGATGACAGTACAAAAAAAAACTAAAAATAAATAAAATTAAAAACAATCAAAAAACTAACAAATTCTTTTCTAAGCCAGATCTTAACTTAAGTTCATGTGTTTTGTTTTACATTTATTACTTTTTTTTAAATGTAATTTCCTTTATGTTTTGCAATTAAATAATATTATAATTTTAATTCTGAATTAATAAATACATGTATGTTTTAAATGTTAGACATGTGTGCGTGCTCGAGAGAGAGAGAGAGAGAGAGAGAGAGAGAGAGAGAGAATACATTGTACCTGTAATTTGTAAAATTGGAGACTTTTTTCCATAACGCTACTCAGTTTTTTCACCAATTCTTCTCCGCTAGTCAAGTTTGAGATGATGAGGAAGTTTAAAGTGTGTAGATATATCATCATCAATTTCATACTTCTTCTTAGATATTGAAGTTGTTACAACTGTCTTGCGTCTAAAAACCAAATCAAATTGTGAAAGACATATACTGGAAATTCAAGCTGTAAAATTTTACGTAATTATACGTTGATCCTTATATTTTTCAATATAGGATTTTAAAGTGCAAGATGAAATGCTTTTGATTTCAGTTCTTTAAGTACTTTTATATCTAAAAATTTGAATTTGAAATTGAAAAGTAAAATGGATAAATATAATGATTCTTCTATAAAAATTAGCAAACAAGACTTACTTTTCTTGGACAAACAGAATGTTTACTTCTCTTCCGTAGTGGTGTCAGTTTTTAATTTGTAGTATGCATGCATAAAAACATTTAACATATGGTTATATAAATACGATACTCTTCACCGATTTACGAAATAACTGTCGTCAGATATTAAATACAGTTACAATATTGGTTTAAGTTTAGGAATGGCCACGGGAAAAAAGGAAGCCATTTTCCGCATTGCCGCAAATTTGTTTTAATGGACAAAACTCATCGTTTGAAAATGTGGTTGTAAAGCATTTCATTATGGCCACTATTGTTGGTAATTTTTATGACTCGATATTCGATACACGCCTTACAGAGAAACTTGAAAGTTTACCCTAAATGAATCTCTAAGATCAATGAGAATGTACTACTGTATGTACCAAAACTCTCACAGTAAATGAGTTTCAGATTTTAATTGGATAATTTATTACTTTTTCGATGCACTTTTCTGTAATTTTCCTGTAATTGGTGTTAATGTTTGAAAATTATCACGCATAAACATCTTTTACTTTTTGCATTGTAGCAGTACTTTTGTGTGGTTTTTAATGAGTAACTAAATTGTCCTTTTTGACCTCTTTTCTCTCTCTCTCTCTCTCTCTCTCTCTCTCTGTTATAATGTTGAAAATGACAATTTCAGGACTAGAAAGACCTAATGTCTTATATTCCAAGCGATTATTTGTACACGGTAAAGGGGAATATTTCTACGATTATGAATGGGGTATTTTCAGCAGATCAAAGTTACTGACGATTTTCATTAAAGTAAAAATTTACCTTGAGTTGTATATCAGAATTTATCTATGCTTAAAAAGAATGTTCCATTATTTTAAAAAAATCTCTTACTTATCCAGTTTAAGGAAAGAATGTGTTCAGTTTATTGGCAGTTTTCATTCAGTGTGGCTTTATTTTCTCCTAAATCGTTTCGTGTCGATCCTTCAGATTTCTGCTTTATTGTGGGTGAATGGGAGGCATTCTAACAGTGATAATGACCTGTCTCAAGATAATCTAAGAATACCACACTGAAAACAAGTATTAATCATAGAATAACGCATTACTATAGAAATGAGCATTCTCTTGTCCCCGTTAATTACCTTGCTAAAACCTTTTTGTTCTTACGGCATTAAATCAATCTTATTAATAATTGAATGCGGATGGAGGTTGAACAAATAAGTTGTGTTAATTGATTTACTAGTAAAATTTGCATATCTGTTTCTGTTAGCTCCATCTTAAGTTTTGTTTTTGACAAAAAAATATTGACCTAAAAATAAGAATCTGAAAGAATGCCATGTCCTTCGGTCAGTTATTGTAAAGATCATCCAAATCAGGGAATCCGCTTAAAATTTTTAAAAATGAAGGTATGAAGAAAGGAAATACAACAAAATGTTGCAAAAATGGTTTTGTGTCGACACTAAGGATATAAGAAAAGTTTTTAGTTTAAAAAATACAATTTTCCAACATTGTCTACCTTTTTAAAAGAAAAACTTTTCATTCTACATTTTGTAACGATTCTTCGCCTACGGTTTGACAATACTGTAGCGATTTATTTCTTGAACAAACAAAAAAATCACGTACAAATGCGTAACAGTTTTCTATTTTTTTATCTTTTGACTTATTGTCTTGAAAGTCATATGCTACATTGCAATTTTAAGGACATAACTTTTTCTCTCTCAAACTCTCTAAACTATAGAACTTTCTCACACAAGTATTTCTCTCCATTTCCTGTGTTTATCTGGCGTAGATTTGAGTCACTGTCCCACATCAAATCGCCATTATTAGAAGAAATGTCGAAGTCTGTTAAATTAAGATTGACAGAATCAAACACGGCGTTTCCATTAATCCACCTCCATTCTCCAGCTTCAGTGCTCCACTGACCTCCTATTCTGTATTTATTGTTGTTCAAGTAACCATTAGAAAACTCTGAAAAGCAGTAAAAGTACGGAAATATAAAAATAATTATACAAAAGAAACGCCAATACACCAATCCTTTAATTTTCTTATATATACTCGTACATATACTAGTTTCAATTAAATTTTGGTCTATTTTCAAATAATTTTGTTTTTTAATGCAATTATATGTGCTTTATGTAAAGCAACAGGATTATTAAGTTTTAATTCTTCGAGATAATTATTTTTCTTTGTCTTTTTACAAAGATGTCTTTTAATGTTGGGCAAAAATAGTATTTAAAATGAACGTCATTATTTGTCTCGATTGACGCCTTAACATCATCAATATATAAACAAAATTATATGAAAACATTGATCACCACTAATGTTTAATTCAAACCTGCTCTACTTCAGTATACAGCCAGATATATTTACTGCCTTTGTCAATATTATTAAATTATGAATTCTGAAATATAATGACCTTCTTTGTTTCCCTCTTGTTAAAACTTGAATGACATCATACATGTTCTTTTTATTAGAGAGTTTTGAAAACGTGCTTCGAGCAAACTAATAAAGATTCAATAAATCGAAAACCTGATCAGAAATGTGGTTAAATTAATAATAATTTGCCAAGCATCTTCTAAGCAAGCTAAGAATAATTAGTAATTAATCAATGCATTTCTTGGGTAATACAAAAGGTCTGATCTACGTTTTCTTTTTAAAAAATTAATATCGGATGCAATATGAAACAAATGACGAACTTCAGTGTAGCTTTGTAATGATTAAACCTCTGCAAAACATGTGACTAATTATGAATTCATGGTCGTTAAATTACTGAGAGAACTCTATATACCTGAATTTAAAAACGTCATATGGTCCATAGTTCGAGGAACGGCTAATCGACATCCCAGCGTCTCACAATAGGCCTGTGCGTCTGCGAATTTCTTTCCGTTGTTCACACTTACGTAGCAAAAATTCAGTTGACTTGAGTAACGAAAAGTCAAGGGACAGCTAGGCACTGAATATTAGGATTGAAGTTTTATTACATATTAAATTATTTCATAATACTTGTACATGTACTTGCATAAATATAGCCTGAAAATTGAATATAGTGTTTCACGTGCAATATAAATTTCAAATATTTAAAAAATAAAAAAAAAATCTTGCTTTAAAATAAATGGTGTCCAAAATTGAGAGCTTAATATGAAACATTGAACGTATCCATTATTAAATCGATGTTAAGTCATGCAGTCTGAAATTTAATAGAAAAAAATTCTGGAAAACAAAGTATGCATGAAGTACCGGTATGTCATATGAAGCAAGCATAATGTGCACTTGAATTTCTCAAGGACAAGAAAATCCAATTTTTTTACAACTGGTATTGTGTAGGAAAAATTCACCTGAGCAGTAATCAATTCCTGAAGACAGCTTCACACAGAATCCTCTTGTACAAGACATATTGCAAGAGGAAAAGACCTGACCAAAAAAGAATACCCAATTTTCAAATGATTATCTATAAATTACAACAATTTTATCACAAAGCTTTTATTTTTATTTAAGTTTATTAGATGTCGTTGAATATCATTGTATTTTATTGATTAATAACACGTTACTCTTGGAAAAGAGATTATTAGTTACATAGTCTTTTAGTGACAGGGTATGGTTAGTAAATTTCATACCTGGCGAGGCGGAGCCGAGTCAGGTATGAAATTTACTAACCAGGTATCATCCCGTACCCTGTCACTAAAAGACTATGTAACGAATTTACCCCACCGATGAAACATTTACGTTTTATCTGTAGTTTATAAATGGTTTTCTCTGCTAAATGCTTCATCACGCTTATACTGTGCCTATTATGACGTCACGTTTGTGTTTGTGACGTAATACATCGACCGGGTATAGATCTACAACTGACCGGGTATGGATTTACAACTGACCGGGTATAAGTAATCCACCGCCTTCACGTGACAGACTTCAACCAATCGTATGCCAGGATTTCACGGAAAAATCGACAGAGGTGGGGTAAAATTTAATATGGGATGCAGAAAAGGTCTGTGTACAACATATTATGATCTCTTTGTTCATGGAATGACATTACATTGAATATAAAAAGTAGTGTATGGAACATAAAGTAACTTTATTTTTTCCTCATCCTTTTTTGGAAATTCCTTGAAGTTGTGGGTAAAATATGTGGAAATAACGAACAGAATTCAAGCTCTTAAGTCAATACAAACATAACAAATCAGGAGCAGAACAAACACGGACCTTTAAAATTTCAGAGGTGGGATAAGGTGCCATGGAGGAGTGAGCTTCCCCCTCCGATGGTAGGTTTTTAAAATGAAAATCTGAGCAGGTCTAAGAGTAATCCCTTTGCCAAAAACACAACCAAAATATTGTAGACAATATGAAATATACATGGTCAAGCATTAATACAAATGCGTTAATTTTTGTCTTTATGTATTAATTTCTTTCAAAATCATTTTATGTGCGTTTTAGGTGAATAAACATGTATTTTAATATTAAATCTTAAATGTTGTTTTAATTTTTTTTATCATTTATTTAAGGAATGAAGCTTATTTCAACTTATGTTATCCGATATAACATAACTTGGGGCAGTTTACGCTTTATAAACCGCGAAGCGGTTTATAAGAAAGCGTAAACTGCCCCAAGTTTTGTTATATCGGATAACATAAGTTGAAATTAGCTTCATTCCTTATAATTTAATTTCTGTGTAGACAATGAGACAATATTTCCTCCGGAAAAAGGCTTCAAATTGAGCATTATTTTAAAAGTAACGTCAAGCGGAGTAATACGTTTTTGACGTAACTCATTGTGACGTAGGCAAGTTATGTTATACAAAATGTTATATGTTCCTCTGAATGATTCAGCCAATGAAATTGCTTGATACAAGTGAAATTAAATTATTACTGAATGAATTGAACTACAATTCTTTTATTATGTATTTAGAATGTATTGAGAGGGTTCTGTTACGAGGCAACGACTATAAGGCGATTTCATACGTTTCAGCTCCGTCGTTTAGAGACAAAGGCGTAAAGTAGGGATCAGAAAGAGATAATCGTGGGACAACAAAGTTTCAAAGAGAGAGGACAACACAGTTGAAAACAATGCAGTGTAAACAAGAAAATCAGGAATGAAATGCAAGGGAGCAAAAGAAAAGTACGAATGAAAAGGAAGAGGGTCAAGGGAAAGGAGTAGTGATGAAAAGTGATACTTCCTCAGGTACAAAGTAAAGATTAGAACAAGGAGCTATGAAAAAAGTATAGGGAGAAATAAAGACCAAAAAAAATTGTACGAACAACTACATGTACCTTGTGAAACTGGTCTTCTTAATCTTTTAAATAGATTTTGAAAAAAATATATTTGTGTAAGCAATTTTTTCACAGAAATACGTATTATTATTAAAACTTTTTACAGTCAACAAAGGATTTGTTCTTAATCGTAAGAACTTTTGTAAAATGAAGGCCTGGACAGCCTTAATAAGAAATAAATATCAAGAAACAAATAGAAATGAAGCTTAAAACAGGAATCTCAGAAATATCTAGGATGGGAACAAACGCCATGGGGAATAAAACACCCTGAATCGGTTCATGCACCCATCGTTTGCTCTGTCATGATTGAGAAAACGCAAATTTGTTGACAATTTGTCTGACCAAACTATTCGTAGGAAGAGTGTCCTACAACATATGAAATAATGATATATTATATAAGAATGCAAAGTGGCTCAAATGTATTGAAGTGAAGGCGATGGAGTCATAGATCAGGATAAGAGAAAAGGGTAGGAAGGAGGGCGAATGAGTCAGCTAATTATATAAATAACTAAGAAATGAACGCTATGACGTTTGAATTATATTAGAAAGCAATGTGGCTCCAAAGTAGGGGACGTAAAGGTGATAGAGTTATGGATGAGATTGAAAGAAAAATAAGAAATTAACCCCAGGAAAAAAAAGTAGAAACGTAGGTGAAATTGTCAGAAAGAAGAAAATAAGTAAGGCGACAATGTTCGAAGAGAGCAAAGGAGCAAGGCAACGCAAAAGCGAAGAGTAGAGATTGGACCGAGAAAGCATGGTGATAAAGTAGGAATTAATTGTCCTGGCGTACTTGCAATAAAGGGAAAAGACACGTAGTAACACAGGCACTAACTGTGCTACAGTTTTAACCGAAACATCTAATAAAAGAATTTTAAACATTAAAATATACTTCAAAATTTAGAAATACATATACTTTGTATTACCAGGTATTTTCTTGTGCAATGTGGGTCAATTCAAATTGATTAAAAATTATTTGTTATATAGAAAAATATTATTTGGAAACTTAACAAAATTTTATGCATTGTATTTTTATTAACTTATTCTATGATTTCTCACATGACTAATACCGTACCGTTCCCTGAGATGCGATATCTATGAATGTGAATCTGTCATCGTCCACGAGTTGTGATAATTCTGTGGTGGAGTCCCCCAGAAGCTGGCACTGCAGACTGTCTCTGTGGTAATTTACAGCCTTACACTGTCCCCTGTCTACACAATCTCTGACACATTGTCTCAGACCCCTCAGCTTCTGTATGGATCGTATATCCCTCCCTAAACGCTTATTATCAGCAGTGACAGAAAATTCACTACAAAAGGCCAATTTTAGGGTAAAATACGAAGCAAATATCATATAAAAGGTAAAAATCATGATCTTGTTTTCATTACAGGTTGAGATAAAATGTTGTTCGGTCGAGAATGTTCATCATTAAATTCAGATTTCCAATGAAGTAAATGGGTATGATTAATTATAAACATCAATTATTATAATCAGTTCCTTTAAATATATAATATTGACCGTGCCGTCGGGAACACTTTGTATTGATAGAGGTTATATTCATAAAAAAGAAAAGATTTTCCCAAACACATCCTCTTTCAACAAACATTCATCTTTATTGTTGATTGTTTTTCAAGTTAAAACTTCAATACGATCTAATCAATTATTTAAGATATGAATAAAAAGCTTAGTTATTGGATAAACATGCACATAATGATAAAAATGGAAAATGATTACAAGACACAAATTTTGTCGATCACAATCTTATTCATAAAGAAAAACGGAGATTGGACATTGCTCTCAAATCATTAAGTTCATAGGCGTCGGAACCGGGAGGGAGGGGGGGTTGCTGGGGGGGGGGGTTTACAAAGATAGACATAATATAGGCATTGAAAATTGGGGTTTACCTTTATTTGTTGGTTTAGCCCCCCCCCCCAGCTTTCAATTAGCCCAACCCACGTTTAATTTGCTTCCGACGCCCATGAATTTGATTTTGCCAGAGTTTCTCTTACTAATGGGTTCCATAAAAAAATTGCCTCAGCAATCTGCAAGAACATAATTATATTGAAAAAACATAGATTTAATTATAATAATAAAGACGAAAGTAGAAGAAAATCTTGTGCCACAGATAGAAATCTTTTTCGAAGATTTTTTTTATTCACTTGTGTCTAAAATCAGAATGTTTTTCAATAAAAATTAAATTGCAAATGAGCCATGATGACAAGATCCATTTTATTGAGAAAGCAACTGTTCATGGTATAAAAACCGTTATTGTTTCAAAATTATTTATTTACGATTTTATTTTTATTTCAGTGGGTGTTCATTGAAGGATAAAATATAAACTGGCATGATATTGACTAGATGAATTCTGGACAGCGATGTAAAATTTATGCAGTGTCTAACAACAACCCAAAATATGATAGGATTTAAAGCAAACATATTAATGCAATTTTTATTAAATCACCATACTACAACATTTAAGCTAGTTCCCATTATTTGTTTATAAGAAGGCAGCATTGATGTACAAAATAGAAGTTAATTATATCATTTGCGTTTT